GACGTCGGCCGCTCCAGGTTTTGATGGACGGCATGTAGCGTATGTCTTCGAAACCATACAACATTCGCTGGGCACCGAGAACCCGGCACGGTTCTTTGATCAACAGCGCTGGTTGACGTTCACCGTAACGACACCATAAAGATGTTGAGATGTCAACCAGCTATGTTTATGGTGTCGCGGTTCACCGACACTATTGACCCCGCTTTTACCACTTCCTCGCACCCGATTAGCTTTGTGCTTAGCGAGTTTTATGTGGCATCGAAAGAATACGTCCCGCTGCGGGAAGCGGAAGACATCGGGACGTATTTGTGTTTAAATTGAACGCAAAGTGGAATCGGTAAGTGGTTGCTGGAAGGGTTAGAGCTTGTCTTCGACCCATTTATAAACATCTTGCCTGTCGGCATGCAAATCAGACGGAGAGAACCCGGATTTTGATTGATCTTTTCACAAGATTGATTACGTTGTGACCGCGCACATTGTCGGACTACGTCCCCATTATATCTAAAAGTATCTACAGCTTCCGTGCAAAGCAACCTATTCAGATGCCAGCGAGGCGAAAATACGGGCCACATACGCGCACTTAAACTTCCGATAATAATATCATCTTTTTCCTGCCACTTAGCAGACGTCACGGTATCACCTCGCCGGTCCCGCAGCGTTGCAGACACCACATACGCAATGAGGAAATAACGATCGGACTTCTGATAAACCATGGAAAGTACTACATTAGGCAGATTTTGAAGAGTCATGCTAAGAAAAAGTGCACTTAACGAACAAAAAAAAAAATGAATAAGTTGAGCACAAATCACGAGATCATGACATCAAGAGTAATGGTCGAGAGTTTTCGTCCATTATGATCGAGTTTGAAGGATGTTTATTGACAAAACAAATTGTCCCATAGTAATTGACAAAATTCCTTCGAACAAACGAGAAAAAGCGAAGCTAAAAACGTGAATGCGTCAATTGGTATTTAATTAACGAATAAAGCTGACCACATTGATCAATAAAACTCGACCCGTCTATCCACTGGGAGTTAGAGGAAAACAGAGGGCAAGCAAAACTCTTAGGAAAATCCTGCGGTTCTCTCGCAAAAAATAACGAATTGCTGAATATTTGCAAAATTTAACGGATTTAGACGGAATTTACCAAACGCAAACATCGATCGTGTCAGCAGCGCGAGCTGTACACTAATTGCTAGCTGTTTTATAATTTTATAAAGAATCAAATTTTTTGTACACATCCTTTCGCATCGTTTCAGCCTATATCGGACGTCGTATCATTTGCGCTAAAGACAATACTTTGCTTATTAGTAAAAATACTGACATGCGATAAAAGCCAATTTTAATGACAGTCGGATAACACGCAGGGAACTTCAATTAAAATATATGGCTATACCTACTTTGGTACATTTTCAAAATTCAATATATCGCGTGATTTGACCCATAGAAAACGTTTACTTTCTAAGAATAGGTTTCATTTTACGTGTATAAAATATCAGTTTTGCGCACAACAACAAGATGCTCAAGTGAGATATGCGACAAAAAGGGATAGCTGTATATACTCTTTCGTGTTATTTATGTCTAGCCTTAAAGTCGGTCGTGTACTATATAAATATCACTCATAACACCAAAATATGACTCATGATTAAGTGGACAGGAAGAAAATAGCTATTACTACCAAATAAAATACACCTCCAAGAATACCAGACAGCACGTGTCGTTTTTTGTTCTTCGCTGAAAGCGCCATTTAACAAAACCCACCGTTGAAAATAACAGAAAGTGTATCTTTGATTATACTCAGCAATACTGGCTCCAAGTTCGGGCTGTTGGGCGGTGACGGGCGGTTATTTTCAACTTTCTCATGTATTTAAAAATATGAAAAATACAGAAATTTACGGAAAAAGAAATTTAATATGAGGAACGCTTTTAAAAGAAAATGAAAATTGTGACGTTTTTTTTTTGCCGCGATGTGAATGTTTGATTATGCTATGTTCGGTCGCGGGTGGAGTGCAAAAAATGTGCGGAGTATTACTGGTTGTATATCCCATAAAGTTTTAATGCAAGCGTGGTTTATAGAGGGTTAATTTCGGTGTGATTGACAACAAGAGAACGGGGCAAGAAGGAAGGAGAGAGTAATAGGCACGTATAAAAATTTTGTTAGCATAGTTGATGAAACGCTGCCGGAATTTGTGAAATATTGCATAATTTTCATCGAATTATGGCATGCTGGTAAGTTTGCAATGAATTCCTGTTGATGTTCGACAAATTCTTTACCCTCGCTCCCAACTTGATCGAACGAACCGGTAAACATACCGATAATAATAAAATTATTTAATCGAATACCGCGAAGTTGATTTTACTGCTAAATGTGAAAAAACGATTAGTTTTTGGGGAGAATTGAAAATGCGAGTTTTGCGTTCGAAGAGATTAAGGACGAGTTCGGTAACGCGAAAATGTGATATTCTGTCTCCTCTCTGATGTGATTTTGATTTCGGATCCCACAACAGGCGCGTAATCTGTGGGGTCGTTAGGCTGATGTGTATTAATGGATTAATGCAGTATTGAACTGTCAACACTCACATCAGCCATCATCCAATAGCGACAGTATATCGATTGAACGCCATTTTGATATACACTATAAAACATACATCGGATTATCATTCACTGTCAATATTTTCATTACGGACCGTCATTAACAAATAACCGCTCGAAAAATCGCCTGAGGATGGCACCGGACGACCGAAACGTCGACCGAATCCGCGATCTCGTCGCCGGATGAAATTTTGATAAACACTTGCATATTGCCCGATAAATAAATAAATTTAAAGACAAACAGCGGAGCTTGCGTAAAGGTGGAAGTTCTTAGCTCACATTTAGTAATTTATGCTTGCAATATCAATGTCGGTAATTTTTCCGAATCCACCCTTAAATTGCGCTACGAAATCCCCCTGTAATTTCAAGCTACGCGAAAGATGACTTTATTGTGCAATATCCTAACAGCAGACATCTACGGCGTCGAGTAATGGTGCGAAAATAACAAAAAATAACTAATAATTTATGCGATGTCGCCTGGAAGCCGCGATATTGTTTCACCCTCTGTTTCTTACCAATTTAACCGAGAACTCACGCCGCTGCCGCTGGGTGCAAAAAGAAAAAGCCAAATTCGCTTGAATCACTTTTATCTCGAACGAATTAACTCCGCTAATATTTCTTTTACAACTTACGCACTTTTAACACCTCTCTGACGGAACTGTCAAGCCGAGTAAATAACTCCACACTTTATCGACACGTTACGAAACGATTACAAATTGCAAACTATTAAATTTACATAACTAACTGAATTGTATCACGACTTTCGTATATGAACCGATACGTACAATAAAATCTAATCTTCCCTAGGCATCTAATTATAATTGTACCAGCACGACGCATTATCCTAACCTTAAATGTCATCAATTTATAGCCATGTGTGTAACTATAATGTACACATCAAACTAGACAGGGCTGAAAACGGAACCTGGTGGTACGCTCTGTGCGGTACCGCTAAATATTAGTACAAGTGTGGTATTACGTTTTGTGCTCGGCATGAACGTCTTTAACTTCCGCTTAATCGACCGACAGTACTAAGATGGAACTTCTAGGTAAGTCTAACTTTTCAAAAAAAAAAAATAAAAATCAAAAAACAAGGTTCGGGTAGTTTTAGCGTCACGGTGACATGAGGACGTCGATTCGGGCGTCATCGTTTAGGTGGTTTTCCGTAATGAGGAGGTCGCGTCGATAATAAAATAGAGGATTTGCATCGAGCGTCCGTTTCGTAAGTTATGCTTCGTAAACATCGTTTTGTACTGTTATTATTGATTGATTGATCGGCTAATTTTCTTTATGTCGTGACAACAGGCACTAAGTCTTAATCGTGCAAAGGTGTGTCCCATTCTTCCTGATTAACAAATTGCCATCTTAAAAAAATGTTTTCCCGGCTTCAAATCCGGAATATGGTCGTCATTTCCGGTGGATTTCGTGTCACACGGTAGTAGTACGATGCGGGACTTAATGTCCAAGCTTTTACAAGAATTGCACTATCCACGTGATTCATTGTGAAGGTGCGACCGTTTTTCTTCGTTTAGCATTCACGCACTCGTACGGTTTAATTAAATTTGTCAAATTTTATTATTTTTCGGGCGAAAGTATCAAGAATATGCAAGTTTCGTGTAATAAAAGTTTCATTTCATAAAGTAATTCCAAAGCTGTAATTTTTGTCATGTTTTAATTAAGATCTGTCTAGGGAACTCATCCACTATAAAGTGTCTTGTTTTAATTTTCTGTTCACTCATATTTCCACCCTTTTACTTTAGACACTTTTCTTTGACTTGATTTTACTGCTCGGAATTTTATTGCTTTCAGCGCCCCGACCTTTACGCCCGATTCCGCACTCTTTCTTACTATCGCTTTACAATAACGAAAGAACTCATTACGATAGCCTTTCTCTAACACCCACGCCACTTGTCACCCTTAAGCCAACTATTTTGTGCAAAATTGTAGCTCGTGGTGTGCGCGCAACAACTGCTCTACATTTATTTTTAGTTAAATTTACGCGGACTCTCCTAGCAAGGGAATCTCGAGAGTTTAGTCATCGCATCTATCAGCGCCCCTCGGGGAGCACGGTTCGATATTTAGGTGATAAAAATTCACGCATCTTAAAATCCATGTCGAAAATATTCAAATGGGTCTTTTTAAGGAGTCCCGCAGGGCCCATTGAGGTTGACGCCAATTTCTCTAACATGAAACAATGAGGCGACTTATGCCAAAGGGAACTTGCTTCTCACGGGGGACCCTTTACTCCTTCGCGCCCGAAAGGGATAAAATTCGTTCAAAAACCCTTCCTCGACGTCGTCGCCTTTTGCAAAAACGAACTGTACGAGTGCACGCTTTCGTCGTGATTAACTATTTACTGTTTAGACGGCTGCTTTTAATTTTCTGTTAATGATGTGTATATTTTTACAGGCAATACGATGTACAGTTCCTAATTGCAGCTGTGAACGTTTTGTTCCTGGGAAGTGCCACCTACGCTACTGTGAAACTTGTAAACACGGTTGGGTTCATCACGGTGAGCACTTTTTAGTATTTTCAACGGCCGTCCTTCGCCGCACCTTCGATATTAAAAAAAAAAAAAAACACAAACATGTCATAGTTTTTGGCGAATTTTACGCGAGCTTTTCGTTAAATACGGACGTCGAGGTCGGACAATGGGCCGTAAAATATGCTTCTTTATATTTTAAGGTGGTTCGACCTCTACCGTTGCCAAACGAATGGTTTTCCATTTTGGAAACGTCTTCCTTCTTAAGTTGCGACGTGTGCTGCAAGTTGCAAATCGTGTCATTCGTTCCGGTCGGGCACTTCGTCAGTTGTTTTTCGTGTTGCATTCTTGTAAGGTATACGGTGTGGTGATTAACATAGTGAAGAAAATGCCGGAGACGAAGATATTGTTAGGTAGCGAGAGGGAGAATCGAGGAGATGTGTGGGTTAATTAAGTGAAAGGAGCAGTTATGAGAAAAGCAAATTTGTCACGCGCGGAAGATGTATAGTATGGTATTGTCCCCGGGGAAAGTCCCGAAACCGATATAATAATAGAACGGTATCGCGAAGAAGTGTAGCGGCATAAATATCTAAAAATTCGATACGTCGACAATACAGTATATCATACATATCAAAGTAAAAACATCCCTAGAGGGCTATTCTATCCGAGACATCGTTGTCTATGCATAGACACCGGTCAACTGGTCGCACATTTGACTATAGATGACCAGTAAACCGTTTCCAAAACGAATGTAAATTTTAAATGACTGGGCGCGGCGAAAAGGTCCACTATCCTTCTTGTTGTCGATGCCGCAACCGTTGTCTATAACTCAAGGATGACAGTTCATTATTCGATAACTTGTAATGCTCCTACACACTGCCCAGCCAATAAACAAAGCGATCGTATTGATAACGACGTCCGGATTGATCATTTAGCGAATTAATATTTATGGAATTCGTTCACCAATTACGACAAACAAAATATAAACCATTCCGGTGCGGCGCGGCGTCGGGATTTAAATTTTTTCGGAACCTGACGTACCGACGCTACGTATCAATCCGGACCGACGTCCTTACCCGTGGATACGAATATGAGCCGGCAGAATATTAAAGCATTTTGGGGTCTTGGCCTTCGCTCAGCCCTTAATGGCTATAGAGTTGCATGTCGTAATTTAATAAGTGATACTACCGCATCTAGCAACATTACATGTTAATTTAATTTAAAAGTGGCTCGTACGTAACGGGCAATATTTAATCCTTTGTAAAGTCACCCGCCGCTGTCGTGTGTCACTTTAGTCGGAGCAGTCGGAATTTCCCCTAACGCTTGGACACCCGCCGCTTACAAATTGTCGGGGTCGTGAATTAATATATCAAAATAATGCTTTGTCTCCGACTGACTCCGGACTCATTTGGGACTATTAACGCCTAGGAGTCTACAAATAGCGTACCCCTTCTCCTCCGCCATAAATCATCGAACGGATTCATTTCGCTCCACTCTTTAACTAAATTAAATTTTTCGAGCGACAAATCGAACACCCGATTTCCGCGGACCGCAGATTGCCACCGTACCGACGAGTATCGCAAAAACGCGAATCGCGTCCGCGGAAAGTTTTTGCGGGAACGTCGAAGTGACGCGATACCCCTCGAGGCGGCGGAATAACGTAGCAGCGGCACGACTAGGGAACTCATGTATCGCGAACCAAACGCACTTATTTATCGGGTTATATTTCATAGCAACTCATTAGGAATCTAAAAGATGTGATAATTATATCGTCAACTCGGGAGTTATACATATGCTTTTACAGCGCGGCGGCGGACCTGCCGGCCACGCAAATCGATAATCCTTTAGTTCTTGCGGCAGATTAATACCTAACTCGCGGTGAGCGTTTTTCCTTCTGCGGAGTTGGCGTTCGGGGTGTCGGTGGTCGGGGCTTTGGAAATTTTGCAAAAGCAACAAACATTTCAGTGGCATTAAATGTTTGAATTTTAGTATATTTTTCTGGCGCCTCGTTTCTATTAAATTTCTTTTAACGTGAAGTAGTGTAAATAATCTTTGAAAGCAATTACCCATTTTGTCAACGGTCTAGTTTTAAACAGGCCCGAACATGTAAACAGATGTAAAGGTGGCCTGAGTTACATTCGTCGTTCGCGTCATAAAGCGTCGGACCGTTTTGGCGTCGATTTGTTTACAGCGTCGCGGTACTAACTACATACACACATGTCGTTTTTGTAAACAAATCGCGACAGCCGTTAACACATACGTTCCGATTGCTGTGAAGTCCTATTTCGAACGACAATTCCACTATTTATAGACCTTACAATAATATTTACTTTGGCATCACTCGTCATTTTTTTTTACAAGAAGAATTAAATATATAACTTAACCCAAATATTTTTATACGGCAACATTTATTGCACAATTACGCCCCGACGCAGTCACCCAACGAAAATAACGGACCGGACAAAGTCGTCAAACCGGTTTACAGAACGACGCAGACACAGACACATAACAAGTACATACAGAACCGGTTTTTGGCGCGATCTTAATTGGGGATAAACGCCGCTCTTCGCTCGGGCCGATCGGGATCTGTTAAACAAGGGAAAAATTCGTTTATAAATTAGTACAAGTCGGTAAGTGGCATCCCGGCAGCATTTCCTCGGTGATTTCCCGGATAATTTATTCGAGGGGAATATAGTAAATCTCGCTAAATATCAAGGATCGGTAGAAGGAAAGGATAAGTTTAACAGAAAGTGGAACAGACGAGTGATAAATCAGGAACAGGTAGCCGTCCCGAAGGATCAGGACTAGAAATTGGGAGAGCCGCAGTCCTTTCCCTGCAGGACCTCGAGATGGATTGAGTCGCTCGCCTGTCGTTGCCGCTCAATCTCTCGCCCCTCTCGACGGCTTCGATGACACCGACGTCGCAATTTTTTCTTTTTAATCAGATCTTAATCGAGTTAGGAGAACGCCCCGATTCGTTGTTCCGCGAGGTGACGAGCGACTCGCACTTTTCGAATCGAAGAAAGAAAGCTGAAGCAGCAGCGACGAACCCTCGTATTTTTCGTCGATTGTGTTCCTAAATATTCGCCGCCGCTTCCACCGCCACCGCCGCCAACGGTTTTGCGAGAAATCATAAGTTAGACCCGCATAAATAGACGGTGGGCATAAATATTTCCTTTTATAGATTCAGCACACGCTGGACCCATCAGTCGCCTTGTACTAAAGTCGTGCATGCCCTACAGACGCCGAGAAATACGATCTTCTGCATTGGTCAACTGGCGCGAGCGAATTGATATTCCGCGCCGGTTTTCGGTCGACACTGCACCTTATCTAACTCGGACATCGATATTCCGGCGTATCATAAAAAATTGACGCGATTAAATCGGGCACTCGTTCATTTGCGAATCCCGAAGTCAAAAATTTCCGCGTCCGGCTCGAGTCCTTCGAGATTCGGGAAAAGTTATTGGGTCGTTATCGTGACGAATGGCGTTAGTTATGAAGGAGACACTCTCTTCCGTGGCCTTTTCTGATATTAGGTTAGTGTCATACGGTTATGGATTAAGCCCGTCATAATCGATGCCCCCGCTCAAGTGGAAAAATCAGTAGTGCTTCTTGTCATTTATATAAAATATCGCCCTTAGGAGACCTTATAAATTCATTAACCTCAAGCGATCCATTCGAAAAAGTTATTCCTGCTGACGAATGAACGAACGAACGAAAGAACGAACGAACAAACAGTGCGGAGAGAGCCCCAGCTTTTGACCAGGTTGCGGGTTCGGCGGCTGAAAGGACGGACTATTGTTTTAAGTAGAAAATGTGGCAATTTTGCGGACGGGGTTACATTTAAATTCATCTAATTTAATGGAGGCGTAACTGAAAATGGCAAGGGTCGCATGTAAACTCATATTCATACCCCGCAGGTGTTCAGGCGTGGTACATATACTAAAGTTTTAATTTTGAACGAGATGAAGTTGTGGCCGAAGATTTTTAAAATTTCAGCGAAATTCGAGTAATGTTTGTGTTTTAAGTTGCATTGTTTGTGGCGTAAGGCTATTAAACGCGAAGCAAACGTGAAATATGGAGCAGTAATTTGAATAAATCGTTAAGAAAGCTGAGGAGTAATAAATGAAAGTAGGAAGTAAAGTCTGCCTTAGCTTTGACAATTAAAACAAAATCAAGTCGAAATTAAACCGAGTTTAAGCCAACACGCGCTCTAACAAAACAATTAAATCATTTAATTAAGGCTCATTATAGTCGCGTGACCGTTTTTTCGTCTCGCGTTTTCGGACCCCTGCGAACATTACTAGAGGAAGTCGTTCTTCATAAGCGTGTAATTGTTAGTTTCATTACGTATCAAAATTGCATATAAAAATGTGTATTTGTATGCACTTTTATCTGATCTTGGGATCATGCAAGGACCCGATGGACGCTTAAGGCCCTTGCATGCAATTAAACACCGTACTTCCTTTTCGGTTCGTGATGTCCGAATTTCAGCCGACTTTTCGTTGAATTTGCAAGTTTATTACTTACTTATACGCTCTTTTTAACCGCTCCGGGCCGCGCAAAACTGTCTTAGGTGTGTAGGGAACTGGGCTTACAATATATCACCGGTTAATTGTCGGTTCTTTCGAGCGAAACCGGTCGTAATTGCGGTGCTAATTAAAGTGGCATTATAGAAATCGCGTCATCCTTACGTTATTTATTTATTTAGTGATCGCAGGGAAGTCGGGGCAGATAATAATAACGAACATATTAATCGAGAAATTCCTGTGGTATTGCCGGAACGCGGCAAGCCTAAAAATTATTTCACTTCGAACAGTGGCGGATGCGAAACTGAACTCGCAACTCGAGGGTTCTTTTCGACAAATTATCCTTCGCTTTCACCTTCTAATTAAAATTCTTCGACAGACGAAGTCGCAGGAAAAGACTAGAAAGAACCCACGACGACTATTGGTCGAACGAACTTGGAGCTAGAGAAAAAAAAATCGAAAAATCAAAACAGTAAACATGAAAAAGGGATGCGCTAAACA